GGCCCCGCCCCGCTTCCTCCACCCGCCGCGCGCGGCCAATAGCGAGCGCCTCACCGCCAGGTTACGGCCCCCCGCCCGCCGCTCGGCCAATAGCAAGCGCCTCGCCGCCCGGCCCCGCCTCCCGCTCACACCTGGCGGAGGACAGCGGCGCGGTGAAGCTTCACCTGGCGCCTCCCACCCAAGGGAATTTTAAGCAAGGACCGCGCCGCGCGCCGACACCTGAGCGGTGAACAGAACAGCAGGTACTCGAGGACATCGGAAGACCGGGCAGAGATGTTTAATAATAATAATAAAAAGGTCTGCTCAGAGCCGCTGCTCAGAACCACCCCTTTGATGCATACACAACACAGAAAAAGGCTTCTGTAAAGTTAACACTTTTTAGTAACAAGTAGTAGAAATAGGGTGAGGCCCTGAGACTAGCCTGGTAAACGAGGTAAGGCAACATGGACTTCCTCCGCGCTGGCCAGGTCTGAAATAACCCGAGCTCTGACCTCACAGTAAGGTCTGCTGCCACCTCCTTGGGTAGAGGCTGGAAGGGTGGGAGGTGTCCTCGATGGTCAAGCCCATATCAGGGGACAATCACAGCAGTGCAAGGGGGCTTCCCACGAGGACAAATGGCTAAAAATGTCATGGTGAAAATGTCATCCCAAAAGAGTTCTTCTCACCAGACCCCATGGTGGCAACCCAGCCACCACGGGGGACAATGGCCCTGAATGTGCATTCGGGCCATCTGCAAAGTGCCCACAGTTCTTCATCAAGCATCAGGTTACGTCACTTTCTTCCTTTTTGTGCGTTTGGGGCAGCCCCTGCCAAACCAGCCCCCTAGAATGGGGGCTGAGCTTAGCGGGACACCCCGGTCCCCAGGTGGGGCCTCCTCTCTGCTTCTGCACAGGGACTTCCGACTGTGGCTGCCTTCCTCACCAGCACGTAGAGGGGTCGCCAGAGAGAAGATGGGGTCCTGCCACCTACCAAAAAGGGAAAACTGCATCAGGCATGCCTGGGAGCCTCTCACGGTCACAACCCACCCAGCACGGGAAGCTTTCTGAGGAGGTCACCTGCCTTCCCACCCCCTTCCTTTCCCTATGTCCTAACTGTGGCTGGGCTTTGGTAAGTCGTAGCTCCATTGTTACAAGCTACAGCACAGCTGCAGGAGAGGTCATATCCTTGAGCAGTGACTCAAAAGGTCACCACCCACACTAGCTCAGCCTCCTCAGAACTGTGTCCTCGTCTGTGACTGCACGGCTGTGCACACACAGGGTGGGATGGCAGTAGCTCCAGGGGCGCCTCCATCTACAGGGATGCGTCACTAGCAACTCTGGGCCCAACCTTTCACTTGTGTGGCTGGGTAGATGGACCAGACCCTCTCTCCCCCTTCCCAGACTGCACGAAGGTGACGGGAGGGGAGGCCAACTGACTAGGGAGGCATGGCCTACAGACTACACCGTGAAGAAATCATGTGTCTGACTGAGATGTAGAACCACATATTATAAACTTAAGATACAGATAAGCACTGATAAAGAAAATGAGCTAAGTTAATGTAAAAAAATAAAAACAAAAACGCAGAACACGATAGGCCCACATTACAGAACACCACAAACATAACATACAAGAATTGCCAGGCCCAGAAGGTGAAGGTATCCTTAATTTCTTGAACCCTTTGATTAAAAGAAGTTATTGATTTCCCCTATAAGACCCTGAAAATTCACAGAGAAAGAAAGTGTAAACTTTTTACTCAATACATACACCAAGTCTAAATCATCACAAATTCTGTATTAAGTCACAGTTTGTTTAAGCTTCCCCCAAATACACCAACTCCCAAAACCAAGTACACTGAGACTCTGTCTGACCAAAGCTGCCGAGCTCGCTTCCCCTCCAGGCGCCATCCCGTCCAGGATTATCTGAGCGGTCAGCAGGGCAGCACCTTGCGGAATGCGCTGGAGGAGCATTTCTCCCCACGGGGCCCTCTGTGCACCGCGCCACGCCAGCCGGGCCAGCAGTGTGTGCGCCAAGTCTTGCCTCGGCCAGCAGCCAAGGCCAGTCCCTCTGGAGGCCAGCATGCTTCAGTCGCACCTCAGACACAGTGTGCACTGCCTCAGAGCTCCCACCACACTCAGCTCACAGAAGACAGACACGGCCCGCCACATGGAGGGGCAGGGAAGTGGGGTGACGGGCTGCACCCACTCACCTGTTGTAGATGGGGATCTCCAGGCCCAGCTCGTCCATGAGGAGCTGCATGACGTCATCACACTTCCCATGAAGCTTCAGGGCAGCCCAGTCGTCCTTCGGGGTCCACTGAGGAGGGAAAGGCAACTGAGGATAACACCCCACTTGGCCACTGCGGGCTTGGTCAGTGCTCCCTGAGTATCTGCTTGGGGCAGTCAGTATCACACCTGTATGGTGCAAGAGCCTGGGACGTCTTTCTGGCTGTTCTGTTCCAGAGCCCAGGTCTAAGGACACAGCTCCAAGCACCTCAGTTACCTGCAAGTTCACAATGTAGAGCCTGGGCCGCCGGCTAGGGGGCTTGGTCATGCACCAGAGGCGTGGATACTTCTTCAGAACCTGCAGAGGTGAACAGACAGACGGATACAGAACACGCATGTGGGAATGAGGCTACAGAAGACTCAGCATAATGCTATGCTGAACAGCTTGGGGCAGGCAGGGCAAGCATGTGCTCGGTCCACTCCTTCACAGGGATGGTGGCACTTACCTTCAAGCTTGACCCTAAACACAGGATCGTGTCTGCTTTACTGGCAGCTTCGGTTGCTGCCTCCCAGTTCAGAGGCTGGCCCAACGTCCCCCTCTCCCCAAAGTGCACAATGGTGTCCCGGAGCTGGGTCCCGCATTTGTGGCAGGTCCGGCCTGTCTGGTGTCGGTGGAGGGCGGTGCGCTCCGTCACGTCGAACACCCGCACATACTCCCTGTTGGGAGTGCAGGAGGTGCAGACCTGAGGACGAGAGAGCACAGTGAGTGGGACCCGCCTGCCTCCTGGGCCCCAGGCCCCCAAGAGACTGCTCACTTCAATGTACATGTTCCCGTGGAGCTCTGAGATGGCGGTGCGCGGCAGCCCACTCCTCAGATGGAGCCCGTCACAGTTCTGAGACACCACATGCTGCACCTGGAAGGCAGAACTCGACGGCAGTCAGCAGGAGGGATGGGGGAAGTACCCCACTGCAGCAAGACCCTCCAACCCCCAAAAGCCTCAGAAGGTAAACTGCACAGCAGGCGCGACCCACTAGGACCCCCAGCTGGGGCACACTTGGAGCAGCTGGGAAGACAAACATCTGCACTGTCCCTGCAAGGCTGGGAAGTGGCTTAGGGCTTTTGTGAGGGCAGTGGTGGCCACTTTGACCCGGATAGGTGCCCTTTCAGGTCATTACATTTCAGGTCCCTGAGGGCCCAGGCAGCAGATCTAACCCTTCTCCACTTGATTGGAGGTGCTCAGCAGAGGTCTCCTATAAGCCTCTCCTGTGACTAGGGTGGTTTCTGAGACCCACAGGACCATGCAGAAGAAGTGCGAGGGGAAGGTGCCTGTGCTGGCCCTGGATGTCAGAGTTCAGAGGAGGGGCTGCCCTTTGTTTTTGGAGAGCAGGCACGGGTAGAGCAAACCAGGTGTCTGAGTTACTCAGTGGGTGCTTGTCACAGGGGTCAGCTGGCAGACAGAGGTGGGATGCAGTTGCCCACGTGGACACGAAGGCAGTGCTGAGTCCCGTGGCTGGACCCGGGCAAGTGTGCTAGCCATACCAGGCTCTTACCAGCTTCCGCTCGTGCAATCGGGTGATGCTCATGTGGGTGAGGGTTGGCTCAGCCTCACTCAGGTCGGCAGTGCTGCTGGGTGGAAGGGAGACCAAGGGTGACAGAGCTGCCACTGAGGCCCATACTGTCCCTACTCAATCTGTGTGGGGATGCTGCGCTTGGCCTGCTCACCTCACACTTCTGCCTTTCTGAAGCAGCGTCCACACTCCATTAGGGCCCCGGTAATCTGGGATAGAGGCTGCCTGTGAGTTTGGGAAAAAGATAAGCCTGGTGGAAAGGCATCACTATAGGTACTGGCAAAATTCCTAAGCATGGGGTGGGGGCCAATATTTCTCCTGCCACATTCCAGGATGTCTCACAGGCTGACCTGCCTGACCCCAGATGCAGCATACCCCAATAAGGCCATGTCTGTCTCTCACACAGAGGGGAGAACCAGTCAGTTCATCTGCATCTCCAGGACCCAGCCTAGTACTCAAGAAAAGTGCAAATGGTAAACCCCTAGGTGCTCTGCCCAAATTCTTACATCCTGATGCTCAACCTTAACAAAGAGAGGACCACCTTTCTTAAACATTATCTAATTGTCCAAGTTTCTGATCCAGTGAAACAAACTGATCATGAGAAGAAAACAGGATCAGGCAACCTGCTAGGATCAGGCATCTTGTGTTCCCTTCCAGGGAAGCCCTGTCTCCTCACTGCTACCTAAGCTCACACGAGTGCCCACCCTGACCAGGGGTTCTGACTCACATTCAAGAGGGGAACCTCAAACAGGAACACTCAGATCAAACTGATGAGCCACGGGAGGCTTTTAGTTGCCAAAGTTCTTTAAGAGGTCACATTACTAGTAAATAATCATGTGACTAGATGTTTATATGTGGCCGTGGAGGAGGAGACCCAAAGGCTAGGGCTCCAGGTATCAGGGCAGTGAACAGACCTCACACATTCCTGCTGCTAGGCCTCTGCTGTTACCTGTACGGAGTGCCTCACTCCCACCATCTCTGGTAAATCTTACACCGCCTTCAAGGCTCCGACTCAGCACCACTTGTGCACCAAGCCTCCCGAGCGGCTTCCCAGCTCTCTGAGGCCACAGAGTGGGTGTATGTTTGTTACAGCGACCTAGCACAGCCTAACATTACAGTTGCTCACATGCCTGGTTACTGTCACCTAATGGCTTCCTGAGGAAGAAATCACAAGTGCCGCCCAACAGGTTAGACGATTTCCAGTCACGCTTTCAAAGCTAGTCACGTCCCACAGCCCAGGACGGTTTCTCAGTGAAACTTCTCAAAGCCCAGTGCGTTTCTCTTCTTTAACCAGCCTATTCTGATTCTCAGTGTCTTGCCTCCCACTGATGTCCCTTCACCGTGTGGAGAGCACCATGAATGGGGAGCCAGGACACAGCTTCGGGCTAAGCTCTGCCCACGTAACCTGTGGTCGATCAACCAGTCTAGCTAGAAGCAAGGAGGCGCCCCAAGCAGTGGGCTACTTTGCCCGTCTGTGTACTCCACCCCTGTGTCTTTAACCGGCTGTGACACAAAGCTCAAGCCTTTCAACAGCGCCCATCCGGCCAAGTTTTGCACGCCTCGGCTCGCGTCTGCCGAGGTCCCGCGGTGCCGCGGCTCGGCGGCGCGTCTGTGCCCGAGACCAGCTCCGGGAGAAGGCGCCCCGCCCGCCCGCCTGCCCGGGCCG